AAATGATTTTTATAATGATTTTATTATGTCTTATAGAACACTTGAAAATATTATTTAATTTCATTTCATTTTAAATTTGCTTTACGGATTTTCAAAACAGCCAGGTTGAATTTGGAAACCTGCTAGAAATTGTCTCTATATATTATGTTCATTGTACAACATTGTAAAATTAAGTAATACAGTAGTAAGACTGGTTTGCTCCTTCAATGACATTTTAATACTTTGTTAGCTTAATTATAATGATTTTATACAATAACTCGTGGAGAACTAGAACATTAAAAATTAAGAGACACTAAAGATTCAGGCAATAATCTCTTATTAGAATTATTACTGGTGATCCTGATATAAAGAATCATGCTTTTAAATTAATTACATTGTTTGATTAGTACTTTTTGGGACAGTGTGATGGCAGAGTGGTAAGACATAACATTCTGTGAGGATCACCCATACAGGAGAGTTCTTTTTTATGTCTGGAGCCCTTAAGAATGCCAGCCACATGCGTGTCCATGATCTTTGATTGACACAAGTTAGAGGTGCATTGCAGAATTCAAGACCTTGTTGCTGGTGCTGTCTCTCTGTCTTTATCTCCCTCACTCATGGGAGAAATAAATAAATGAACCTAAAAATTTTATTAAATTGCCTAATTAACCCCCAAAATATTTGTGTGTGTGTGTGTGTGTGTGTCTCCATATAGATAGGTTAGAGGATGTGTGCACATGAGAGGGTCAGAAATATAGTGAACGGTGTCTCATCATACTGTAATTCTCTTCTTCCCAATCTCCATTCTACTGACATATAGCTTTTTTCTTCTAATTTCACTCATCAATTATTTTTCCTATTTCCTCTACTGTTTCTTCTTCACTGTCTTTATATATTCTCCTATTTTGAAAAGTTAGTCAAATATTCAACACACACATAAAATGTGCAATTACCTGTAACAACAAATGACACTTCCATTCAGCACATTTCTTAGATCTTTTTATTTCATTTTCTTCATCATTCTGTAATTTGGTTCTCATTCATTGAATTTATTTTCTAGCCTCAAATCCAAAGCAAAATGGAAAGTGCCTTTTTTTAAAGAGGCTTTTTTCCTTAGTGCATGTGACTTCTAGGAAAAGAAAGAGAGAGAGAGTGAGAGAGAGTGAGAAATCACCCATCAGTGGGGATGGCTATGCCACAATCCCTTTTTCTTCATTCTCCTCCTGGGATCTTGGGTATTCACACAGAAGTGCCCAGACTGATTTTGAACCCACTGGGTCTGGGCCTCGAACCACACACAGTCTGCCATGTGGGAGTCATTCCTTGTGCTTCAGTTTATCTAAATAGTAAAATTTAGAATGCAGCAAAGGAAAAGTCATAAGGATAAGAAAAGCTTGGGACCAGCAGTTGGTGTAATGGCTATGTCGCTGGACTACCATGTAGTCAACTGCGGTTTGAGTCCCGGACCCGGTGGCTTAAACTCACGCTGAGTGCGTGTGTGTGCGTGCCCAGGATCTCGAGAGGAGAATGGAGGAGAGGGGACTGCGGCGTGGCCATCCCTCCTGGGGGGGGGTGATTTCTCACTTTCTGTCTCTCTGCCTCTCTCTGTCTTTCTGGCAAGCACATGTGCCCTATAGCAAAAGCCATCAAAAAAAAAAAAATCAGAAACAAAAACAAAGAAAAAAACTTATATTTGACATACACAAGAATCTCTGTTCACTCCTATAAGAGTATATTCATCTTGGCATTTGGCATTGACTTTCTCTTTGTCCTTCAGTACTCTTTTTCTTGTCAGAAACAAACACTTAAAGCTACAGTTTCCCCCTTCTGCGATTGCTCCCCTCAGTATCCCTCTTCTGGCAACTAGCTTCTGTCTTTTTGTAGTCAGTAGAACTTTTGAAAACATAGGAAAATAAGTTTAGAGTGGATATTGCCTCTATACAAATCTAGGGAGATAGAGTATTCAGCAGGAAAAGTGAAAAACTGGAAAAAAGGAGGCAGCCGGGAACAGCCAAATCATGTCCTTCGGCCTTGGCTCAGAGAGGGCTGGTCTTATTGCTACTGCATGTCAGATGCCAGAGCTCTCGCTGTAGAGGCCATCGATGTGGACATAGGACACATTAGATAAAGTCATGGTGTTGCTGCCTTTGTTATAGTGTACTCAGCAAGAAATAAGAGGACATCCAGACATAGCCAAATTTATTGGAGTTTATTGATTAAGTTGACTGTATATGGGAGGACTCGTGTCTCTCAAAACCCCGCAGCCTCGAGTGAAAAGGAAACGGAGCTTATATAGGCCACAAATGCACAGTCATGTCCAGGCTGACATGCTGATTCCCGAGGGTAAGGTATAGTGGGCTCAGATGGGGGAGAAGGGGAGGGGTAAGGTTTTTAACAATGTAAAAGCAGAAGCACAGAACAGAAGCAAGAAAAGCAGGTTAATCCTTCCTCAGGGTAGGTTCTGTCTCTGCCTAAACACTGTAGAATTTTAATGGTCTTCATGGCTCAGGGCAAGGGGTCTGGCTGATGATCACATCACTAAAGAATATTTTAGGGCAGTTAAGAGGACTGTGGTTTTAAGACAAGAGGAATGTTAATTACTCTGTTTATTCTTAGGCACAGAGGAGAAGGCAAGTTTCCAGTCATAAGAATCTAAGTTTACAATGGAGGCGCTCCTTCAAGATGGAGTTGCTCCTGCTTCATTCCCCACTTCTCTTGGAGGTGCTCCTCCAAGATAGGGTCATGCCTGCTTCACCTTGGCTGCCTTTTCAACCCAATCTGCTTTGTTTCTATACAGTTTCTTCCTCTCTCCATGTGCCAGATTTAATGTGATGTGCTTCACTAGCCAACACAGATCATGTCTCTTCAGTCTAGATACAGGAGAAATGAGAAGTGACTTTTTGGTCGATTCTATCTTTAAAGGAGTAAGTAAACTCTATCACACACCTATACTCTAGTGGTAAAAAAGCAGGTTCAGATTTTGGCCATTTTATTAATGACATATATTCATTTTGTTACTTCCCAAGTAACCTCCTCAGATTTTTTTTTTCTTGGCCTTCTTCTTTTGGGTCTAGTCCAGTTGATAGGTCATCCCTAACTGTGCCCTCAGCTACCGCAATAGCTCCAAGTCGTTCAGCTCTAGGAGTCTCATTGCTAACTGTACTTCACATGATTGTTCAGATGATGCTCACTGACAAACTTGTTAGAACATCTAAGTCTTTAAGTTATTAAAAAAAAAAAATGCCACGGAGGCCCTGTGCTTGCCAGAATGAGAGAGCGAGAACCCACTCCAATGGGACACGTTCCGGCCCCATTTTCCCTCCATTTGTCTTTTCCATTAGGATTCTGGGCATGTACATCCACATGCAGCACCATGTTTCTCAAGCTGCCAGGTCAGGACTCAAAATGTGGTCGATTTTGACTCTGCAGTTTGAGTCCAGACTTGGAGGCTTGAAAAACATGCCAGGTGCATGAGCGTGAGTGCCCAAAATCCCAAGAGGAGGATGGAGAAGAAGGGATTGTGGCATAGCTGTTTCTGTACTGTACCCAGCGAGTACTGCTGTCTGTTTCCATCTCTTTCTGTATCTTCTATATCTTTCTGTTTCTTGTGTATACACTTACAGAAAAAAAACAAACAAAGAAACCAAAAAAAGTAGTCAACCATGTGGGCTGTAGTTCCCTTAGCTACTGTAATAAGGCAAAATTTTCTCCAAGCAAATTTTGATAAACGTCTACCTAGTAACCCACTCAGTCTTATTGAATGATCACCTCTTTCACATATAAAACATCCATTGTTGTGATTCTACTTTGTGAGTTCTTTGCATTATTCTCTTATCATCCTCATTACTCCAAAGTCGTATCACACATGGTCTAATCACTTCACACACATTTGAGTAAGCTGGGGAGCAGTTTCAAAATACAGACTTTTAATTGCTGTTCTGGAACAGCTTCTGCATTTCTACAGTACACCTCAGCAATTTATGTTTTCCATAAATAGATTATCCAAAGAGCTCTTATTTGGAAATCACTGGGAAAAAAAAAAAAGAAACTTTCTGATTAGTATGATTAACTCCTGTTAACCCAAGTAGCTCCCTATTTTTCACACCCAAAATATTTAATTTTAAAAATATATTTTTTGTTTTTAAAATATTTGCCATAGGGCTTGCGTGCTTTCCATAGAGAAACAGAGAGAGAGGGAGAGAGAGAGAGAGTAAGAAAGAAAGTGAGAAATCACTCCCCAAAAGGGATGGCTACAACACAATTTCTTTTCTTCCATTTTCTTCCTGGGATCTAGGGTACACATGCACACCTGCCCAGCATAATTTTCAAGCACTGAGGTCTAGGATTTGGACCATGGACTGCCATGTGGGAGCCCAGCGGCTTAACAAATATATCATTTGCTGGCCCCTTAAAAAACTATCTTGTAATGCCATTCTCAGCCCTTAAAGTTTTCAAGGAATGCCTATTGTCTGAAGAATAACATTAAAGCATCTTTACATGACCTTCAATTTCTTTTATAATCCTGGTATTTCAAACATCTTTTCCTTTGAAACTGCATCCATATCCCTGACACTGTTTTTACTTTTTTTGTTTGTTTTATTATATTTAACACATGCATATAGCATAACCATTTTTTTAATAAAAATGTTAATTCACAGGACTGGTAGGTCATGTAGTGGTTGGGTTGGTAGACTCCCAAATGGCCTAGCATAGTTCAAGCCCTGGACCTGGTGACTTGCTTTATCACTTTCTCCCTGTCTATCTCTGGCCAAATTAAAAAATAATAATAAATAGAATAAAATAAATAATTCTTTTTTAAAAAGTTAAATCAGGAAATTTTCTTGAGAAATATGTATCATTTAAAACTTTTTAAAATACTCTAAATAACATTAGTATATATAACACTAAAACTAAAGAAAATCATGGACACTTTTATAAGTATATAGCTCTTTGCAACACTCCTCCCACAATTTAAACTCACAGATACACATAGTGAATGTTATTTTGATGTCTACTGCTTTTCATTTCAGGGGACACCTAATAAGAGCATGGAAAAGGGAAATGCAACATTGTTGACTGAGTTTATTCTCACAGGACTTACCTATCAACCAGAGTGGAAAATCCCCCTGTTCCTGGTGTTCTTGGTCATATATCTCATCACCATTGTGTGGAACCTTGGTCTTATTGCTCTCATCTGGAATGACCCTCACCTTCACATCCCCATGTACTTATTTCTTGGGAATTTAGCCTTTGTGGATACTTGGATGTCATCCACAGTCACCCCAAAAATCTTGGTCAACTTCTTAGCCAAGAGTAAGATCATATCTAACTCTGAATGTATGATACAATTTTTTTCCTTTGCAATCACTGTAACCACAGAATGTTTTCTCTTGTCAGCAATGGCATATGATCGCTATGTAGCCATATGCAAACCCTTACTTTATCCGGTGATTATGACCAACAGACTGTGCATCCGGCTGATATTCTTGTCATTTGTGGGTGGCATTGTTCATGCTTCCATTCATGGAGGGTTCTTATTCAGATTAACTTTCTGCAATTCCAACATAATACATCATTTTTATTGTGACATTATTCCATTGCTGAAAATTACTTGTGCTGATCCATCTATTAATTTTTTAATAATTTTTATATTTGCTGGTTCAATTCAGATGTTTACTATTACAACAATTCTTGTTTCTTACTCACTTGTTCTCTTTAATATCTTAAAAAAGAAGTCTGTGAAGGGCATAAGGAAGGCCTTCTCCACCTGTGGAGCCCATCTCTTATCTGTGTTCTTATACTATGGCCCTCTTTTTTTTATGTATGTGTTGCCTAAATCAGCACAAGCAGATGATAAAGATATGATAGACTCTCTATTTTATTTGGTCATCATCCCTTTGTTGAATCCAATTATCTACAGTCTGAGAAATAAACAAGTCATAGATTCACTGACAAGGGTAAAGAAAAATGTTTTGATAGCACAGTAGTATCTCTTTTATTTCTAGTAAAACAGTCAAAAGTTTGCAGTTACATTTGTTTTGTTAGTAATTCCCTGGCGTTATAATGACTTAAGGTATTGATGTAAATAGACTTCTTAAAATATTTGTATGTTTTATTCAAAAGAGTTGAGGAATTTTAATTAAGGGTTCATGTAATTCTAGAATAATTAGCAAAAACAAAAATATTAATCAATTTGTATATTCTTGAATGTGGCTTTGTAAAACCATTCAATTCGAAAACAAGGTAGTTCTGATAAGGACTTGAAGATCATGGCATGGATATTAGTAGAGCTGTTTCCTATAATATGGTCAGGCACATTACTTAAAATAAACCTCCTTCTTTATTTTATAGTTAAGTGTTTCTATTAACAGGTACTTGTGAAGTTAGTGTCAGGCTCCAGTCTTGAGTTAATTTTTATCCAAAGTGTTTTGGAGAAGAAAGCAATTTCAAGTAAAATTAATAGGATTTTTAGAAAAGGGTCAATTTAAATCATTCTAACAACAAATTTACGAAAGCAATTTCAAGTAAAATTAATAGGATTTCTAGAAAAAGGTCAATTGAAATCATTTTAACAACAAATTTCAGTGAACTCTTTTTATTCAAGAGAGATTTTTTTAACAAGTACACATAAGAGTGAGAGAAGTGCTGCCAACAGGTCTGATCATGCCATAATCTTCTCCATCCCTCCAGATGATCAGAATCTTGAGAAAGTGTGTGCACACCAGGAGTGTTCAAGTTGATTTGGTTGACCATGTGGCTTCCTGCACTCATTTAGCATGCTACTTACCAAGCCACAGCAACTGAGACGACTTTTCAACATAGAAAGAACTTTTAAGCAGTACTACATTTATGAACAATACAGTTTGTCAACTGAAATTTTATGTCCTCTCTCTTTCATCTATAATTTCCATATAAAATTAACTTAATTTTTAAATTAGAAAATAAGTATTACTAGGATTGACATCTTTAATAAACACTAGGTTTAGGGAAAACAATTGCCGTAATCCTCTCAGTTTCTCACTATTTCATATTCATCCTTTCTCTGATAGTTTGTCTGTCCCCCTCTATTTTGCTTTTCTCCTATTCTTAGCCGTGCTTCTTTTTTTATTCTCTGCCTATTTCTCTTCCTTCTTCTGGTTTTCTTTCCATCCAGCTAAATTTCTCTTTCCACTACTTATATCCCTTTCTCTTCTCAATGCCTTACTCTCTTGTCCTATCTTTGAAAACTTTTATTACTAGTTTAACAGGAAAATTATAATGATCTAAATTTTATAATTTAAGCAAATCCCAAAAATTCTAATATATTTGGAGTGATTTATCATGCCACTTACGTTTGAGTCTCTTGTTTTTCTTTCACTTACTGATTTCTAACCTCATTTTTATTGTTGCTGGGGAGATTCAAACCATGGGGTTCTCTAACCAAGCCATACATATTCTTGGCTCTACACACAACAGAAGTATAAGAGTAAGCCTTTGAGGGAGAGTGAAAAAAAAATTATTTATTTATTTGAAATTATTTATTTTTTTATTTCAGAGAGAAAATTTTCCTAAGGGTGTGTTCACTCGCCAGAGACACAGAGAAACAGAAAGACAAAAAGTGAGAAATCACCCCCCAGGGGGGATGGCCATGCTGCAGTACCTTCTCCTCTATTCTTCCCTTTGGATTTTTGGCATGCATGCACACATACCTGTTGTTGAGTTTTTTTTGTTTTTTGTTTTTGTTTTTTTTCTTAAGAGGTTTTTGCTATAGGGCACGTGCACTCGCCAGACAGACAGAGAGAGACAGAAAGATAGAAAGTGAGAAATCACCCTCCAAAAGGGATGGCCATACCCCAATCCCTTCTCCTCCATTCCCCTCTTAAGATCTTGGGTACGCACGCACATGCACCTGGCGTGAGTTTAAGCCACGGGTCCGGGACACGAACCGCGGTCGACTACGTGGGAGTTCAGTGACATAGTCATCACGCTAACTGCTGTTCCCTACCTGGTGCTGAGTTTTAAGCCACCAGGCCCAAGTCTCAAACCATGAGTGTGGGAGTCCAGTGACATAACTGTTATGCCAGCAGCTGGTCCCTATTACTGTTATTTTTAAAATTTTGCTATGGGGCACATGCTCCAGCCAGAGAGAGAGAGCAAGAAGGTGAGAAAGCAAGCCACCAGGTCTGGGACTCAATTACAGTTAGCCATGTGGGAGTCTAGCGCCCTAACTACCATGTCACCTGCTGACCTTGAAAGCAAGTTTATTAAGGAAGTGAGCAGAGTGGGCTACTCCAACAGTGAAGCAGACCCATGAGAGAAGATAAGTGAACTATTTCCTTTCTTCCTCTGAGAGGAAGGAGAGAATTTTTACTCAAAAAGAAAGATATAGGGCTAGCCCATAGGCAGGTCAGCTCCAAACTTCAGTGAGTGTCTGGCTGGTTTATTGCTGAGCTAAGTAAGGGGTGAGAGATGGCTTGGTTTATTGCTGAGCTAAGTAAGGGGTGAGAGATGGCTTGGTTTATTGCTGAGCTAAGTAAGGGGTGATGTATTCATGACTTTTCTGGGAAAGGGGCAGTGGTTTTTCTGGAACCACTATCCCTCCTATTTTCTGGCTAATTTATCAGGATAATTCTAATAATTGCCTTAGTTATTTCAAACTGCCAATGCACAGGAGAAAGTACCATCTACTATGCTAATACCATACGATGAGGGTACATTGAGTCTGAAGGTTAGGAAGTGGTCATTCCAGTGGCCATCTTGGTTCCAATTGGTTCAAGGCTAGTCTTTCAGTCAGTTTTTGTCAGTAAGATGTTAGGTATTTAAGGACCAGCAGGTGGCATAGTGATTACATCCCTGGACTCCCACATGGCCAACCACAGTTTGAGTGCCAGGCCAAGTTGCTTCAAACTCATACTGGGTGTGTGTGCATGCATGTCCAAGATCATGGGAGGAGAGTGGAGGGGAACACAGGAGAAGAGATTGCAGCCTGGTCATCCCTTCTTGGGGGTGATTTATCGCTTTCTGTCTTTCTGGCAAGAGCACAAGTCCTATAGCAAAAATCTCTCAAAAAAAGAAAAATATAGCAAGGTGTTAGATATTTAGGTGTCCCTTGCCTCAATACCTTTCTATCTCACTATGAAGAATGGGAAACCACTCTTACTGAAGTAAACAAAAAGTCTCTTAATGTTCATACCTAGTTATCTCTATCAACACCAATTCTATGGGAGCACTTATTCGTGCATTTGGAATTGCACTTCACTTTGTCCTTGTGCAGTGTCTCTCCTCTCTTCATGTCTACAGCCCTCAGCTCCATAGTTTCCCACCAGAGTCTCCCATCATTCTGACCAGTACTGTTTCCCAGTCTCTTCCTTGTCTTGTCTGAGCCCGGGCTCTTGGTTGCATCAGGAAACTTATTCATTAAATAAATGTTGGCTGTAACATAGAAATGGTTGGGAGTTTGAAGGAATCACCTCAAAAAAATGAGCAGCCATCCAGGGGAGTAAAGCAACCAGTTAACAGTCCATACATGTCCCAACACAGGCTTGATGAGGGTATTGTTCCTGCTGTTGAACTTACGTGCCAGTATCCAAATGATAATTCTATTATTGGGGATACAAGATGCATTTGCTAAAGTCTTGATGTTACCACTTGGTCTGTGTTAGTTGTAAAAATTCACTTTTATCTATGTTCTTTTGACTCCCTCTCTACAAATTCAAAACCTATGAGGAGGACGGATGGTGACTGGCTAAATCTAGATCAAGTGCCCTCCCTGTAGCACAATGAGGATACAAAAGTGAGTTTGCAGCTTTTTTCCTGGACATAAAAAATGCATTCTCCACAATGATTCAGTGTCCAAAGAATGGCTAACTCTGTCATAGAAATCTTTATACTATTGCATCTTATTCTGCTTCAGAAAGTCTAATCCTTTTATGGATTTCAAGTTTTTTCAATTTATAGGGAAGAGAGAAATTATTTTTATAGTATTCATTTTGCCTTATGGAAACTTTAAGATGTTGTTTAATTTTAAATTGTGTTTACAAACATTCAAAATAGACAGGATGAAATTGTAGAGTATTATGGTTGTCCCTAGATTTTATTTTGAGTAGGATATGAATAAATAAAATAATGGTAAGACTGATTTGTGCCTTAACATTTTGTTAGCTTAAGTATAATAATTTTATAGAAGAAATTGTGGCGATCTAGAACATTAAACAACTTAAAACTGATTTAAAAATTTAAGTAATAATGAATCTGAAATTAGAATGATTTCTGATGATCCTGATATAAAGACCCATTAATTTTAATTAATCACATCCCTTGACTTAAATGTTTAAGGGGCTGGATGAAGGCCCAGCCTCTGGGCATCTTAATTTTTACCTGGTGTCCTCCTTGGGCACAGCAGGCACATGCAGACCTGCAATCCATAGGTGACTTAGGCAAGGGTGGGTCACAGCATGAAGACCCTATTTATGTCTTTCCCTCTCTGTCTCTCTCTTTCTCACTCATGGCAAAAATAAAAGAAATTTAAATTCTTATAATCAGTCATTTAAATATAAATAAACATGTTTACATAAATAATTATTGAAGCAACCAACACATAATTATATATAATTACAGATATACAATAAAATTGCATATATAATTTTTAGATAGTGCTTTCATGTGTGAGAGAGAGCAAAAGAAGTACTCTTAACAGCTGACATGTATGTTTGCCTCTTAGTGAAGATGTGAAGAAAATGTCACTCCACTGCTCATCCTAGTATTTATGACTTAAACCTTATCCACATAAAGTTAAATTTAAAAAATTTCCATTAGTAGTTGGAATTCCATGGAAGTAACCCATTCCCCAAAAAAGTGCATTTAACAACTAGAACTATTGGCATTGATATTGCTTGTATCAGGTTCCAATTGTTAGTGAACTTCTATTGTGTTAAAAGAATTGAGTAAATAGTGGGGCCGGCAGGTGGTGTGGTGGTTAAGGATGCTGGACTCCCACATGGCCAACCAC